TCCTTCCTTCCTTCCTTCCTTCCTTCCTTCCTTCCTTCCTTCCTTCCATCCATTCCCCCTATCCCCCATCCCCGCACTCACAGAGATAGTGGCTTCTTTCGGTTTCCATCCACGCTCGGAAGGGAGAAGCGGTGTAGCTTTCTGCCGGTTCCTGACCCTCGCCTCCGCCTCCGCCTCCGCCACCGCCGCCGCCTTCTGGCTCAGGTAAATCCAAGAGGCTCCTCACGGTGAAGCTGCCCCTGGCTAAGGTGGCCATGGCCGCGTCGGGCGGGCTGGCAGGGCAGAGGCTACTGGACCCCGGGCAGGCACGGAGAGACGCTCATCACGGCTTCCCCTCGGGCAGGAGATTAGTGTCGCTTACCTCGGGGGCGCCTGTTTATATCAACAGTCTTCCCCACCGTAAACACTGGTTGCTTTCAACCGTCCCTGTCTATGGGCTGCTAAGTACCTGAATTAGTCAAGTGCTAAAAGCTCTAATGGGTGGCAAGGCGACCTCCCCCTCTTCCCTCCCCCCCCCCCCCCCCCCCCCCCATCCATTTCTCTGTCCTCTCCTCCGGAGATTCACCCTCACCCTCCCAAACAGAGAGACAGAGAGAGAGAGAGAGAGAGAGAGAGAAAGACCCCTCCCCAAAAGCCAGCAGGAAGCGGCCTTCGGATTCTGTCTGATTAGGCCAAAGTGGGGACAGATAATGGGGATTGTTCGCTCTGAATAACATCTTGGGTGGTATTTCGGGTGGGGGGGGTGTAGAACCGCAGCCGCTCTCCGCAGCCCCTCCACCCCTCTCCTCACCCACAAAGTGAATCCTCGAAGGATACCCGCAGCTTTGGTCGCTGGGCTTGCTTGGAGATGCCTAGATTTCTCCCTGCTACTTCATCCTTTTCAGGGAACCTATTTGTTTTCTCCCCCACTCCTGTATTTGGAAAACACTCCAAGAGGTGGGGGAAGTGGGGGATGGAAGGTGCTGCTGCTAAAGTACCCATCAGTCCTACGCCTCCTGCTGCTCCTCTGCGAGGGGCTTGAATCCTTCTCTTCACACCTAGGGGCTGGGGCTTGAGCATCCCATTGCCATTCGCCCTGACCAACTTGCCACAGCCAACAACAGAGCCATTAAAGAAAGGATGCAAAAGGGGAAACAGAATAAAATGTGAATGACAAAAATTAAAATATTTTTTTTATTTGATTTAAATAATTAAAGAGAATTGTTACATTGTCCAGCAGTTGTTGAGTTGGCTGGGATGAGGAGTTGGCTATAGAGAGTTGGCCAAAGCAAGTTGTCCCATTCCCTCCCAGTCTGCCCTCCTGTGCAGCATCTTGCCTCAAATGGAGCCATTTTTCACCTTTCTTCCCCGGATCTGTACTTTTGCAGCAAGCCATTGCTAGGACCCATTTCTTGAAAAGTCCAGTGGATTTGTGACCCGGTGTCACTCGCAGGTGGTTGCTGAGCTTTTGAACCAGTGCTCTGAGTGAACCCACCTCCGAATGAGTCCCCAATATTGGGATAATGAAATCATCTGTGAATGCTGTACTTTTTCCCTTGAAGGCTTGAGAGGTGGGGGCTCCGTTTCCAGGCAGGGTGCTCTTAGTAGAAGGAAGTAACTGGGCCTCTGGCAGCCATGAGCACTTCTGACAGGTTTCAGTAGTTCAGGCTCACGGATCTTACCCAGGAGGTGGGGCAGGTGACCCTGAGCAGCAAACAAGTCCTTGTTTATCAGGCTGCCCTCCAGAAGTTGTGGGACCATCCCTCTCACAATTTCAAGCCTCCAGGCACCCATGCTCAGGAAGTCCTGACACATTTGAAGAGTGCCAGACGGGAGAAAGCTGGTTTAGAAGGCAGGGGAAATGGCCTGATTTTGGGTGCCACTGCTAAGGAACAGAAAAACGATCCAATTGCAATCCAATAATCCTGCTGTAATCCATTTGCCCTCCTCCCGCTTCCCTTAAAAAAAAAAAAAAGGACAAAAAAGGACCACACATTTTCACAGGTAGAGATGACAATGCAGTTGTGTGGAGAGATTCTGTTGTTTCATTTGGCTGGACAGCACCAATTCCCTGCCTGAGCCCTCCCAATGGGAAAAATAAAGCCCCACCAAAACCAAAAGTCAAATAAATGGGACATCAATATCAATTCCTTTGAATGCTGTGGTTTTCAAGTCAAAAGGGACGACATGTTATAACCAGCAAAATATTCTGTTACCTATAAGCCACACAGGGACAGTATTTTAAATGAGAACCCTTGACAATATCAAAAGATCCAGACTATTTTCAACTATCTTACATTGAAAACTTTAAGAAACTGGTCTTTATTTACATTTAACTCTGAAACAATTGTAGGTGAGTGTCAAACTGCATCATAAACATCTTGACATATTTACATACATGTTACTGCTGTGAAAATGAAAATGCTAGTGATACGTTATATTATATTATTATTATAATTACTGTGTTATGATGCATATACACATGCAGGGGCTGAATGTAACATATTACTACCATTGGAATGGGATAGCTAACTGCTTTTTTTTAACTCATCCTGGTTGGCTATATATCATCTAGTATTCTATTTTATCACATTGCGTTGCATTGTAATTTTAAATACGTTGTGAAAATATTATTTGCAGTTACTTTATATTTGGAGTTCAGCCAATAAATTAGATGATTATTAATTAATGATTTAATTAGTGGGTTGATAACTACTTTTAGGAACCCCAGTTTTATTGTGCTTTTAACAATCCAGGAACTACTACTCCCCATTATTTCTTAGAATAGTAGCTTTTCAGAAAGCTTTTCATCTGACTGACATTGAGATGAGTTGGATTACATGGGATAGTTTAATTTTTCAAGGATCTCGACAACCTGAAGTCCAGTGGTAAAGAATATTATTAATCAAACTAATATTGAGGTTGCAAATTTAGACTTGCAAGATCAACTTTGTTATGTTCCTAAAAATCTGGAGATCCACCTGCCTGAGGTAGAAACACAAGGCACGGGGGAAGCAGCGTCCTGAACCTTATGTTGAATAGGTGAGGGAACAGAGCATTTTCCCAGGCTTGATTCCATTCCTGAATAGCCCAGACTGTCTTCACTTCTGCAGTTCAAGAATATTCAAGTATTGTAACTTGTGTTTACAATACATCATTTTAATCCTGTTGGTTGATTTTTAAAACCACAATTGTGACAAGTGTCATCACTTGTGGCGGGCAAAATAGGAGGAGGAGGAGGAGGAGGAGTATTATGTGTATTCACCAGTCTTGAGTTATTTATGGAAATACTAAAAGCAGGAAACAAACAAAAAACAAACAAACAAACAAATAAAGTCCCCCCCCCTTCCCTCTTTCTCTCCTAATAAGCAAATAGACAAAGGATAAATGTTTAGCTACCAAATTGGCTGTTCTGCAGCTATCAGCCATCTTTACTTTGAATGCAACTCAAACTCTATTCAGAATAGTAGGAAATGAACCTTACTCACACTTGATACCCTCACAATCTGGAAAAGAACAAAAAATAAAGATTGGATCCAATTCCTCTTGCACCTATCATGTAAAGGGGATGTTTGGGGAATGGCAGTTTTTTTAAAAAAAACAGCATAGAATTGGGCAGATCAGAAAATTGGGAAAGATAGAGATATGGAACAGGACAAATGGAGCGGAATGTAGCAAATTCACAGAATGGGAGGAAAATTCAAGAAGATCCAGTTTTGTGAATGAAAAAGGATGAAGGGACATCTTTGGGCTACATCTTTAGGCTACCCCAATTATCAACACACATGCTTAGGAATGCAACCTTAATGAGATGAGACTGCATTGGGTTTGTATAATGCTTTTTGCATATGTGCAGTTGCTTGGCCATAACCGTATTATAACTTCTGTATTCTTGTTAGTAAGAGCCTGCTGCACCATAAAATATGGATGATATGTTTTTTTCCTGTGAGTAATAATAGGCCTAATTTTACATCAAATTTGTGTCTATTCCTTTTATTGGCTGTACTATCTTTTGAAGATTTTAGTGGGTGAAGAACTCGGAAGACACAAGTAACTTAAGTTTCATTATTACCACTTCACCGTTGTCTTAACGTATGCATCCAGTGGACTCAGAATAACGTCTACTAAGATGCTCAGGATTTAAAGCATCACATAAACGATGTAGGACTCCTGCCAGGAGGATTCAGGGTCCCTATTAGAAGATGACAATAAGAATCATTGTTTAGGGTCAGGCTTAAAGAATGGCTGAATTGTGAGAAGTGGGGAGGGGGGGAAGAGAATCTGGATCAGCAGGTAAAGTAGAGCTTTAGCAAAGAAGAGGGCTTTGAGAAGTCCCTCAAGAGACCGGCAGGATGACAAAAGGGTAGGGAGGAGTCATTCTCCCAGGCAGCCATGAATGAATGAATCCACAAGAAGAGAATGCACACACAAAAAGAGAGAAAGGGTAAAGACACGGAAGAGGAATAGGAAGGAGAGCAGGAACAACAACAGCAGAAGCAGAAGCAGCAGCAGCAGCAACGAAGGATATAAATATAGAGGAGGGGAAAAAAAAACAGATGACCAGTCAGGTGAAATGAAATATACTTGAATATAAAATTAAATAAGTCCCATTGCTTAAACAGATCTACTAAATTTCAACAGTGTTGGGTCACAGACACCTTGGAAACTAGGAGGCACCTGTGGGATTTTGAGGTTGTTCTCTCAGGCATGGAAACACCAAGACCTGGAGAAGAATGTTATTGTTGTTAGTCATGAAGTCTCGAGAAGTCGTTCCAGGCCTTCCTGTCCTCTACCATCCCTTTTTAAGCCCACTTAAATTTAAGCTCACTGAAGCCAATTGCTTCCGTGACTCCATCCAGCCACCTCATTCTCTGCCATTCCCTTCTTTTTTTTTGGAGAAAAATAAGGTCTGCAATCAATCCACATCTATTTACAAGTAAATGCCCAAACCAACACCCTTCACTGATTAGATTTGGCAACGCCTCTTGCCAAATCTGCAGGTGGTTCTGGCAGAATAGGTAGTGTGCTGTCTGTGCTGGCTGGTTTAGTGACTTCATTGGAAGGACTGGGGAGATGGTCTCTTGGAGATGATGATTTGCCGATTCAAATTCCTTCTCCCAAAATACAGGAATGTCATCGAAGCAGGCTTATTTTTATTTTATTTTTGCTAGAGGGTAAAATGAAATAACTGGATACATAAAAATGTAATAAATATGGAATTTGAAGACTTCTCTTAAAACAGAAATGGAAATTTGGTACAGAGAACATTGGCATTGC